TTCGTGATTTGTTGTTGTTGTTGCATATATTAATATATATATATATATAGTAATATATATATATATATATATATATATACGAATGGCTCGTATCGGCCTTATTTATTTCCTGTTTACAATTATTGTTACTATTATCATATTAATGTCTTTTAAAAAATACTTTTGACTCATACATAAAAACTTAATCGTTTAAATGTTATATCTAATCTATTCCTAGATTAGATAATTTTTCTAAAATACAGTTCAGTAAAACTGATAATTCGATGATCTTTGGCTCTCTTTTCTGGAACGCGAAGATAGAATATTTGACTGAAGTTATAGAATATAAACACACACGCGCTGTTATATCATGCAGCACTTGGCGGCACAAATTTATACGCAATAAGAGAAAGTTACAGAAACAACACTTGTTTAAACATTTATTCTGTTCTTTTATAATACATGCGTGCAATTCCCATTGGATTTCGTAATTGCGTGTTCAAGCGTCAGTCGAAATTTGCAAAACCTACACGCAAACTTTTCAGATCTCTTTGACTCTCGGAAAGGGTTAAAATAGAGCGATGTGACGATGGAGTACGCGGCGCGGAAAGAAAGTGCGCGCGATAAATGGAGTGAATGTCCAGCGCACTCGTGGTTGCGGCGGCACGACGCGGAACGCAAGTCGCGGAATTACCTCGTTTAACAGTAGTTTTTATTTTCTCAAAGCCAAAACTAAAGTATATATAGTTCAAGAGAGTGTTTTATTTATATTGTTATTTTTTTTAACACACGTACAATTGAGATCTATATGCTGACAATTAGTTGCATATTTATAAGAGAAAAACATTTTCGATCATTACTTGGTCTTCATCAGTCGTTATAACTATGACTTTGTAAATGTTACAAGCTCAAATTCAATACGGATTGATTCGTAAATAAAGTCACACAAGAAAATATTGACATAGTCAATATTTACAAGTTTTCCAAATATCGGTAAATTTATGAGCGAGATACACGCTCACAAAAGTTTATTTGACCGTTTATCGAATACGTACATTTTTTATATTTGTAACACAAAATGTGCAAAATTCGAAATCTATCGAACGACTAAATGTTGTTCTTGTTTTTTTTTTTTTGCAAGTAAGTTTTGCGAAAACAAGGTTGCTTTGAAAATCCAATTAAACTCAAAGCAAATATATTGTAAATATATTAGATTTAGTACATGCAAACTTTGTGCCACCTCTTTTAGCGTGACCAAGTCCGAGAGCTCGCCGCATAAAGTTCTAATTCGGTTCCACATCGTGACTATAGCGACCGGACTCTGAAAGCGGAAGACGCGGACCCCAAACGCGAATTCACGCGTGCGTATCCAACCCTGTATCCTTTCTGGCGCTATCCTTATTATTCGAGCGTGTTATTACAGTGTCCGGTGTCAAACGTGCCATATCGCTTCATAATCGTTTCATGCGATTTTGTTTAGAGCGACACTTTAATAATAAACTTGTGTTTTTTTCTTTTTTTTTTTTTTTTTATTTAACTTGTAACTCTTTCACTTTTCACATATTAATGTTTACCTGTAAAAAGAAGTGAAAATAATTTTGTTTACTTGTTTGTTTAAAAGACGTGTCATTTCGTTTGAAAATTGCAATACACATAAAATGTTCGCGTCAGGCAACAGTGCGGTACTCGCCATCTAGTAATGGACACGAAGAATTTAAAGGCAACTAGAAATAGATCATAAAAGTCAACAAAGGGATCGGTCATACCGAGCAAGGCTCGTACTGTGTTCACATAGTACCACGCGCCACCGCCAGATAGAGCATGCGTCCGTACAATTTCGAGAAACGGCTCTCCTCGTTGCTCTTTGTGCGTTCAGTCCATTGTTAGATAGCAATAGTTACGTGACTTTTGTTTATTCATCTACGTAAACAAATAGATAAATTTATTTGGGTGAAAAAGTTTAAATTATTAATTGGTTTATATGAAACTTAATGCGATCAGAAATCAACACGCAATCAAATTAATCAAATTTAATCCAGCTATCTAATCAGGTATTAGCACAATTTATATGTACGTTATATTTTAATTAAAATAAATGATCGATGCAGCGGAGGTGCAATAACTGACACAAGCTTACTAGTTTTGCGAGTTTGTCTAATCGCGTTTTCATGGTGCGTATATATACGTGGCTTCGCTAAAAATTAGAAAAAGCTTGTCGAAATTACGACGGTTTCAATCCCGCTGGTTGTGACAAACGTGATTATCTTGTAATCGCACAAAGAATTGACACATGAAAGTTGTGTCCAAACTAATTGGCAACTGCAATTTCGCGCAATATATACATAGCATATACATATATAAATGCGCGATGAATATTCGCATTGAATTTATAAACGATCCCAGTTATATCCCGCGCGGCAATCAATTCGCAGTAATTATACCCGTTACACAGCGCCGCGTACATATGTACCACCAGCGTTCGCCCCCTTTTGAGCTTTTGAACTTTCGCTCCGATATCGTCACGCGTTATGCAGATTATCGTAAAAACATTTAAACGCGTTAACGCCGGAGCTTTGCGCGGCAGCGCGCGCAATCGTTTATCGCATCATTCTCGCGCGACAGCGAAACTTTATGCTCGGCAGTTTTTATCGGCGGGATTGAACCGGCGGGAGTAGCGAAAGAGAAAGAGAGAGAGACGAAGAGAGAGGAGAGAGAGAGAAAAAGAGAAAGAGAGTGAGAGAGAGTCGTGTTTTTCAATTTAATCCGGCCTGTCCCTCGCGCGTTTCTCGCTGCTACTGTCGCTGTGCGAGGTGATTACGAAATTACACGAGTGCGTGCATCGCATTTCGATTAAAACGAACACGGTTCTTCCGGTTCGGGCAGGTATGTAGGTAGGTGGCATCCTCCATCGGAAAATCCTACCGAGAATATCGATGATAATATGATGTGCCGCGTGCAAAATGCGCGCGATCGATATTCTTGTAGCGACAAGTATATTTCGTGTCGTGTCTTCGCACACACTCCCGTATTTATTGCGATACGAGACCAGGCCGGTACCACGACGCTAAATCGCGATACACTACTCCACCGCGAACGAGAAGTGATGAACCATAACGAGAAAGAGCTATGGGAAAATTGTGCGGTGCCGTGTCTCGTGTATCTCTTTGCGGGAAAACGGTTGTACGATCTCGTAATCTTCTTTTATAAAGTATTTGGCAAAGTGCTTTCATCTCGACTGAAAATAGTAGATCTCTTCGGAAGAAAAGTCTCAAGTTCGATCTTTTTTATCGTGTAAAAAATTGATAGAAGACTCAATAATTCACATAATATTCTCTCACGCGCGGTCATATAAATGTAAGTTGCGATAAAAAGAAATTTCTTACAAAAATTTTCTTGGTAAAGTTTCAGCGGGCTTTTTTTTACATTGGTTGCATGTATAAGTGATATTTTAATACACGCACGTGTATATAAGCTTTGATTATTAAAATAATATAAGAAAGTCAAGAAGTCGGCGCGAACTAAAATAAAGTTGTTAATTTGCTATTAAAATCATATTCAATTATAATATCGAAACCGAGAAATTAATATGAGAAGAACAGGAAATTCATATGAAACTTTATTAATTAAACGCGATTCTTTTAAGCCACCAGTAGTCTCTCTTCAATAACAAAGAAATTATTTATACAAGTATTGTATATACATATATGCGATATATGACATTAACACGTACGTAAAATGTTATAATTACGTTTGTTGAGACGCACCGTCGAGATACCGTCGAAATAAAAGACCCGCGCAAGGTATGTGCAAAGATCGATATCTACGCATCGGCATTATAATAGATAATGGGTCCCGATATATTTACTGCGACAACTTAGAGTCGTTTGCGATATCTCGCGGCAATTCTCAGCGGCGAAATTGGCGGCAGTATATTACACGGGGATATCGAATAGAGAGAAGTCTTCATTGTCACTGCGCGGGATCTCTCCGGTCTTATCCACGAGCGCAACGAAAACTTTTCGAGATAAACTCTCGATCGCGGCCCAAAACGTTTCCGGGCTTTTCGCTTTGCGGCCACTTGGCCGAATTCGCGTGCGTACACGAACGCCGTCGAAAAGACGATATCGTAATCTTGCAAAAGGTTACCTTCATGCCTTCTTCTTCCTCCTCTTCTTCTTCTTCCTTCTAATTCTTACCGTCGTTCGAGATACCGGAGATATAGATACGAAATCAGGGTAGATTTGAGAATCGGGGGTAGGAGGAATTACGCGGGGTGGGAAAACGGAGAGAGGGGTAGGCGGCAGGGGCGCGGTCGCCAGGAAGGATTTGGGATATCTCATGGATTCAGGGAGTAGCCGCCGGAGGCGTTCAACCAATTAGCTAACTCCACGGCACTTCGCCCTCGAAACCGCTAACGAAGAACCTAAGCGAACGAAGAAAACCCGGGACTGGTAGGGGGCAAAATCCACCTATACTCCTATAGAGGCGCTACTGCTTGCTTGCGGTGTAGATTCGCTCGGGGGTATTTCTCGGTGTTTCCCCACTGAATCCTCCCGAGGACGTATGGTACATATAAATTACCGCTTTAAGTCGGCGGCGAGGCGTATCGGAATTTGACATTTTGAGAAGATTCTTTTATATTTTTTGTCCTTCGATGTATGCTAATTTCTTTAATTTAAATACACATATGTATACATGCATATAGTATATATATACATACATATACACAATATATATATATAGTATATACAATATATA